GTTCGATTAAATACCTCAGTTTGTCCATCTGTTTGTGGGTGACAAGTTGTAGAAAATAATAACTTAGTTCCTAACTTACTCCACAGAACACGCCAAAAATGACTCAAAAACTTCACATCCCTATCAGACACTATACTTTTAGGTACTCCATGTAAACGTACTATTTCCCTAAAGAATAAGTCTGCAATATTAGTAGCATCGTCAGTTTTATGACATGGTATGAAGTGCGCCATCTTACTAAACCTATTGACCACTACAAATATTGAATCCCGACCCCTTTTTGTCCTAGGCAATTCTAACACAAAGTCCATATATATATCTACCTAATGTTCACTAGGTACAGGCAAAGGAGTATACAAACCATGTGGTTGAATCTTAGACTTAGCCTTTTTACAAGTTATGCACTTTCCACATATTTGTTCTACGTCATGTCGCATTTTAGGCCAATAAAAATGTTCCCCTAACATGTCTAAAGTCTTTTGAACCCCGAAGTGTCCCATTAAACGACCCCCATGTGCTTCCCTTACCAATAATTCACGCAAAGAACAATTAGGAATGCACACCTTATCTTCCCTAAACAAATATCTTTCATGTCTATAGAATTTATCAAATGCACCTTTGTCACATGAAGCATAAATACTAGAAAAATCACAATCAAATTCATACATGCCCTTAATATGCTCAAAACCAAGTAATTTAGTACTTAATGAATTTAGAAGCACGTACCTTCGAGACAACGCATCAGCAACTATATTTTCGTTACATTGTTTGTACTTGATGACGTAGGGAAATGTCTCGATAAACTCCATCCATCTGGCATGTCTTTTGTTCAACTTACCTTGACCTCGCAAATGCTTTAAAGATTCATGATTGGTGTGTATCACGAGTTCCTTTGGCCATAAGTAGTGCTACCAAGTGTCCAATGCTCGAACAAGTGAATACAACTCCTTGTCATATGTCGGATAATTCAATGCTGCCCCACTCAACTTTTCACTAAAGTAAGCAATAGGTCTCCTTTCCTGCATTAACACTGCTCCTATACATATTCTTGATGCATCACACTCAACCTCGAATGTTTTATCGAAATTTGGTAATGCCAAAATAGGTGCTTTACATAGCTTATCCTTAATAGTGTTAAATGCAATTTCTTGAGATTCTCCCCAATGAAAACTTACACCCTTCTTTACCATTTTAGTCAACGGTGTGGTGATGGTGCTAAAATCTCTTACAAATCGCCTATAAAAACTAGCCAATCTATGAAAACTCCTAACTTCAGTTATAGTATTAGGTGTTGGCCATTCCTTTATAGCTTTTATCTTTTCTTCATCGACTTTCACCCCGTTAGCACTAACCACAAATCCTAGGAAAACAATTCTATCCATGCAAAATGTGCACTTTTTGAAATTAGCATATAGTTGTTCCTTTCGCAACACAACAAGCACACAATTTAAATGTTCTAAATGCTCATCTAGGTTTTTGCTATAGATTAAGATGTCATCAAAATAAACTACAACAAATTTCCCAATAAAAGCACGCAAAACATAGTTCATTAAATGCATAAAAGTGCTCGGTGCATTAGTGAGTCCAAACGGCATAACTAACCATTCATACAATCCATACTTAGTCTTAAATGCCGTTTTCCATTCATCACCCTCCCGCATGCATATTTGATGATACCCACTCTTAATATCAATCTTACTAAAAATGCAAGCACCATGCAACTCATCAAGCATATCATCTAACTTAGGTATTGGGTGACGATACTTTACCGTGATATTATTGATAGCTCGGCAATCCACGCACATTCTCCAAGTCCCGTCCTTCTTAAGCACCAGCAAAACAAGTATAGCACATGGACTCATGCTCTCCCTGACATAACCTTTGCTCATCAACTCCTCCACTTGCTTTTGAAGTTCCTTCGTCTCCTCGGGATTGCTTCGGTAAGCTGGTCGATTCGGTATGACAGCTCCGGGTACAAAGTCAATCTGGTGCTCGATGCCTCTGATTGATGGCAATCCACTTGGCATCTCCTCAGGAAACACGTCGTCAAACTCCTGCAATAAAGACTTAACCAAACTAGAGAGGGATGTGTTAGAATCCTCAAAATTGAGGAGGGACTCCTTGTATACTAACAATATCATTTGCCTATTATCGCTCATAGTCTTTTTCAACTCACTCTCTTTTGCATAGAAGTTGATCTTTGGCTTTTCTCTCCGCTCAGCTGACTCTTTTTCTCTCCTCTCAACTGACTCTTTTTCTCTCCGCTCATGTGGCTTCTCTCTCTTTTCTCCATTCTCAGCCACCTCACTATTTTCTCTCTTATTAATGGTTTCACTATTGCCTCTCCTTTTTCCTAACTCTCTTATTCTCTCGTCTTCCTCACTTTTCAGCTTGATTTGATCTCCATACACTTGTGCCGGTGTTAATAGCGCAAGAATAATAGTCTTCCCATCCTTGACAAAGCTATAACGATTCCTATAACCATCATATGTGACCCTTCTATCATATTGCTATGGTCTTCCTAACAAGATATGACCCACATGTATAGGCACTACATCACATACTACTTTGTCACTATAACTCCCAATTGAGAAATTAATTAAAACTCTTTTATTCACCCTAACTTCCCTACTTTCATTCAACTATTGCAACTTATAAGACCTAGGGTGTCTTAACAATGCTAGTCCTAATTTCTCAACTAAAATTGTACTAGCTACATTTGTGCAACTCCCACTATCAATAATCATACAACATACCTTATTGTTGACGTAACAACGTGTGTGGAATATATTTTCTCGCTGCTGCTCCGAATCATCCACTTTGACTTGAGTGTTAAGAGCTCTCCTTGACACCAACGATTCCCCAACAGCAAACTCCAATTTTTCTTCTTCTTCAACGTCCTCCAATGCAGGCATGTCCTCAAACTCTCCTTCACTTTCACTCACTATCTCTCTATTATCCAACAAAACCATTACCCGTTTATTTGGGCATTGAGAAGCAATATGCCCTGACCCCAAGCATCTGAAACACTTGATGTCTCGATTCCTTAATGGTTGTGAATCTATTTTAGGTGCTGTTTTGCTAGCACTTTCTTCTTTCCCTTTCTACCACTCATTCCTACCTTTAGGTACAGCTTTATCACCTTTGTTGTTGTTGTTCCACCGTGGCTTCCAAGATGGATTAACACTCGAAGTTCCTAACGGTTGCCTAGCTGCCCCTTTCCTCTTCAATTGTCTCTCTACCTTCATAGCCACATGCAACATGTCTTCCAACTCCACATAATGTTGCAACTCCACTACATTGGCAATTTTCCTATTCTACCCATTCAAGAATCGTGCCATGGTAGCGTCCCGATCCTCCACCACATTGGCCCTTATAATGAGTATTTCCATCTCCTTATGATAGTCCTCTACACTTTTTGACCCTTGATATAGACCTTGCAGTTTTTGATGGATCTCTCGGTAATAGTGGCTAGGAACAAACCTCTTTCTCATCAATGACTTCAATTCCTCCCAAGTACTGATTGGTCTTCCCCCACTCCTACGTTGTGAAGTAATCACTTGATCCCACCATGAAATTGCATAGTCACTGAACTCCAAAACTGCTAACTTCACCTTTTTCTCCTCCGAGTAGTTATAACACTCGAAGATCATTTCAACCTTCCTTTCCCATTCCAGGTATGCCTCGGGATCACTCTTTCCTTTGAATGAAGGAACTGTCATTTTTATATTTTCCAAGTTTCCATCCACCTCCTCCCCGCGATCATTCTGACCCCATCCGTCGAACCTATCGCCTCTATTCCTCATCCTTCCCATCTCAACACCGTGAAATTCATCTTCGCCCATGTCACTCCCATATCCATACTCCTCTCGCCTTTTCCTCCTAGGCTCCCATTTATCCGGTCCTCTGGCATTGGATACATCCACTCGATGCCCCCGAATAAGATTAGCCACCGATATATCTAATCTATTCATCCAAGCCTCCTGCTTCTCTAACCTATCTCTCACATCTCCAAACGTCCTCTCAAACCATTGCACTAAATTCTCCGATGCATTGCTATTATTACCTTGTCGGCTTGAGTTTGATTCTGCCCTTTCTGATATCCTAATACTAAAATTTTATTTTACTGCCAAAAGTCACTCGGAACACACACAAGGGCTTTTACCCTCTATTAAGCTCACCTCTCTGCCTTTTACCACTCAGTTCTTTCAACAATTGCTTCTAGGAACAATCAATGAACTCAATCAATCAATCAAATAGTGTAGAATTCCCCAAACTGAATGTGACTCAATAATTGTAACAAAGGACTTAAAGAAAACTTTTAAAACTTGATTTGAATTGAAGGAATGGAATGATTCAATGTGTCCAAGTAATTTAGAAACGATAATGAATAATAAAAGTTGGTATTTGACGGATCAATAATATTTTTCACAAGTTTTTTTAACTGTACGGATGAACAGTACCGTACGGATGAACAATAATTTTTTATTTTTTTTAGATCCGGAAATCAATAACAAAACCAACAAAGAAAACGAAAACTGATTTGGGCGAAAATTGAGCCCAGAAACGGAAATTGAAGATTTTTTATGAAACTTTTGGATTAAAGAATCAAGAAAACCTTCGGACACAAGAACACAAGGAATTGAAAAAAAATTAGAAAACAAAGGATATAACCTGATTAAATTGGAGCCAAAACTCTGATACCAAGTGATGCGAACCCCGTAGCAATGGAAACTACGAAACCTACAACGAGATTGATGCGGAACCCAAGAACGCCAATACTAATCCGGTTTTGGATCTCGAACCCCATGAATTGAACCAAAAAACCCTAGATTAGCGAAAAACATAAAACCTCTTGATTACAATTAAAAGAACCCACAATCCGATTGATAGAACGCCACAAGAAGTTGAATCTTGATAAGTTCCAAGATTGTTCAAGAAGAACAATAAATTCAAAGAAGAAATTTATCTCTCTATAATATTAATTCAAAAGTCAAAAGTTCAAAGGTTGTTACAATGAAAAGTAATCTCCTATTTATACTAATGAATAAAAACGCCCAAAACCATCAAATTATGGTAATAATTTGATTTCATAAGAATTCTATCGAAACTAGGAAATTCGGCCAAAATTAGAAAATTCGCCAATTTTTTTGGCTTGTGCGGCCGCATGGATTTCGCATGGTGTAAATCCATGCGGCCGCATGGTTCAACAAGAAAAACAATTTTTATTTTTGGTATGCATGTGTGCGGCCGCATGTGGTTTTGCCTATGTGGCCGCATGGTGTTGTTTTCAACCTCCGCTTTCGTCGCTTGATAACAAATTGATCCAAATTGATTCGGCCTTCGACCCGAACATGAAAGTTGCTCCATTTTTGAGTTCCAAACATGGTTCCATCAATGGTTTCTTGAACGAGCAATCCCATCGCTTGTTTCACTTGCTTTGCCCTTGATCGCGTCATTGGTCCGCCATCGACTATCAACGGGTCTCGTCTCGCACTTGTCTTCGTCGAGCTCGACTCCTGGATCATATCACTTTATGTTGATCATGTTAATCACAGAGGTTTCTTAGCTATTTCTAGTTCAACTATGTTACATTCTTTTAAGTTTTATTAATATTGCTGTTGTTTGTTGTTTCTGTTTCTTCCATTTTCAGCCACACGAGGGCTTCGAGAGGAGAGGGGGATTGATATTGTATTTTATATACTTATTCAAGACTTTTAAACAATGATATTTAATTGCTTTTTGGATGAATTATGGTCTAAATTGTTGTATTTGATGTGGAATAGGTAAAATTCAATGATGGTTTAAGAAAGCAAAAAAGCAAAAGTGGGTAAAATTGGAGAAAATGGCTAAGTTATAAGAAATCCAAAGTTTGGGGACTAAAGTGCAAATACTCAAAAATTGTGCAGACCTCATTATGAAGATTCAAGAATGCTTGGAGTCAATTGGATAAAGAAAGGCATCAAAGTGATGAAATATAATCAAAATATGATCACACATCAAGTTCCAACCGAAAAAAAGTTATGCACCGTTTTCAGCCTCATATTGTGACACATTTTTGACATAACAAATGATCGACTTTCTAACGCATTTTGAATTGCCTCAAACGAACATCGGGTGAAAAAAGTTATAATAAAAATACTAAAGGAAGCGAAGCTAGAATTTTTCACCTGAAGGTGGCGCCGTGGCACTGCCTGGGTATGTCTATAGTGCGTTTTTTGCCCGTTTCGAAGTCCATGAAATCCCTATTTTCTACACATGGCAAGACACATATAAATACAATTTTTTTCACATCTTGAAGAGGGATTCACAAGTTGAGATGCAAGAGACACACTTAGATATTAAAGAAAAGAATTCAAGAGAATAAAACAACAAGTAATTCAAGGATTGAAGTATAGATTGGAAGTGGAAGAAGATCTTGGTGCAAGATTGATTTTTTATTCTATATTCTTATTCAAAACTCGGTGATGTCTTCCATAATAACTTCTTTTTTTCTTTCATTACTATAAGTAGCTAAATCTAATTTTAGGGCGAACAATATAACATATTTGATACTCTTTATTTCTTTTATTTGAGATTCTTGTTTGTTATGATTATGTATGGATTTAATCATGTTTTTAATACTTTGAATTTTCTGGCCAATAATTCAATGATTTTGTGAACAATAATTGCGTAGAGATGCGGATTCTTGTTTAGACCAAATATTAAAATTCGATATAAATTAATATAACGTGTAGAGATACCTATATTAATTGCTGCAGACATAAATGAATTCCTAGCTCTATTAGGTCGTTTGACTAACTTTGATTCGCATAGAGATATAGAATTGAAGTAGTTAAATTCGCTCAATGAGAACTCGAGAGGGTTAAATTGAATACAATAGAAGAATTTGACCGAATACTACTTTAGATTATATGAACCTCGATATTAGAAGTAAAGGTGACCAATATGTGAACTTTTTCCACCATAACATCCATTTATTATTTGAATTCCAAATCACTTTTTGTTGCATCCATTCTCATTTTAAGTAGTTAGATCAAAAATCACAATTGATCATTGTTTTTGTTATTTTCATCAAATAGTGGCTAAAGAAAATAGAATTAAATGCTAAAGTTTAGTCCTCGTGGGATCGATAACCCGGACTCTTAGGTCCACTTTATTACTTGTTACGATACGTACACTTGCGGGGTAAAATCGACAACAGTGACATTATTTACTGCTGATGGTTTGTTTCAAATTGGAGGAAACCTTGTCCCACGCCGTATTTCTTTGTCTGATGTATGTTCTGTTCGGAAAAATGAGTAATAGCTCACCTTTGACAAAATTTTCGGTGTGACCTGTTAGTCCAATTTGGAAGATCGAAGTTAATCCATGTTCTCCTTCGTGAGAGCATCAAAATCACATATTTATTTGCCAAAAATGAAGTTTGGGTAAATGAGAAATTGTAGTTCAAAGATGACCATTGGAAGATGGTTATGTGGGAAAAAAATTGAAGTTAGTCTCACATAGGAAAAATATGAAAGCAAGAACCACTTTAGATAGAATTATACTTTGGAATGGTATAATCATGTGTAGCATAGAGGCTCACTCCACGTGCGCGCGCAGGGGGTGCAAATTTCGGACCGAAATTGCCATCGAACCTTGAACTTGTGTGCGGGCGCGACCTGCTTACACGAATCTTGAACCGAACGGAGCAAAAATTGGCCCATTTGGAGGGCCCATGTTTTACAATTTTTTCTTACTTTCTCCACTGACTTTTGAGTTTCTGAAACTTCCAAAACTCTCAGAAATTGAAGTGACTCCAATGTTAATTGACATAGAGTTAATGGCAGATTCATGCTATATTAAATCTCAAGTTTTCCAGCAATTAAACATATGAAAAAACGCACGAAATTTTCTCTGCACGAAAAAAAAATTTCCCAAATTCTGTCGTCATCTTCTTTCTATCCAGTGAAGTCGTCGTGGTGGTAATATTGTTAAGACGCTAAATCGATTCATCGGAATAGTTTCTGTAGTGCTCAGATTCTGCTGATTTTGCCGTTGTATCCTGGAAAACAGACGCTCGGACTAGATTTCAAGCACTTAGGGTAAGAGGGCGAATCTATTTTAAGGAAATTGTGATTATACAGGCCTCGGGTTAAAAGTCTATTTTCAGATTTATATGCTTTCTAGTTTAAATCTCTGTGCATTTCTTTATTTGCAGATTTACATGCTTTCCAGATTTATTTAACTTTCAGTTTAAATCTCTATATTCTGGAATTTATACTACGTTTGTGTTTCTGCAAATAATATAATTGTTGTACTTATTCAAGTAGTTTAATTTGTTTTAATTCTCACAATTTAGATAATATTTTGTATATACGAATTGAGATATGAAATTGTGTTTATCAAAATTCAAATTCTGTGTTATTTAAATTATTTTATGAAAACAAGCAATTTGTCCAAAATCTGTGTTGTTTAGGTTATCATAAAGTTTCTACAAATTCTGTTGTTATGTCACTGCCAAATACGGTAAGCTGCTTGGTATATATGGTAAGCTGTCAAATACGGTGAGCTGCCTGCCATATACGGTAAGCTGTCAAATACGGTGAGCTACCTGGTATATACAGTTAGCTGCCTGACATATACAGTAAACTGTCATATACAGTGAATTGAACTGTCAAATACGGTGAGCAATTGTCAAATACGATAAACGTGAATTCGATGTCTAAATCACATATACGGTATATGAGAACCCGATTCCACTCCATGCACTACCAATTAAATTTGCCAACAAACTTAAAACAGATTCCTGAAGGAAAAAATTTGTTTCTTATACTGTTAATTTTCGGAAACTAATTTTTTTTGTTTGATTTTCAGAAATGACAACAGAATCAACCAACATGGATGTGACCCAAACTGTGCCTACTGAAAATCAGGCTATGGGCTCAGTTGTGGTTCAAGAGCCAAGCTCTGTTGTGGCCCAGACTGTGGCTAAATTGTCAAGTCATGTTGTGAGTCAAATTGTGGCTCCAACAACTGGCCATGCTGTTAATGTTTCGGTTAGTCATGGAGAAAAACCAGAGAAATTCAATGGCTTGAATTTCAAAAGGTGACAGCAAAAAATGCTATTTTATCTGACCACTTTAAATCTTGCAAGATTCTTGACTAAGACTGCTCCAAAACTCAATAAAGGTGAGGGAGATGTTTAAGCCATCAGTGCACTTCATGTTTGGAACCATTCGAATTTTTTGTGCCAAAACTATATTATGAATAACTTAGCAAACACGCTAAACAATGTGTATAGTACTATGAAAACTGCTAAGGAACTGTGGGAGTTTTTGGACAAAAAATATAAAACTGAGGATGCCGAGGCTAAAAAGTTCATTATCGGTAGATTCTTAGACTATAAAATGGTGGACTCTGAAACAGTTATCAGTCAAGTGCAAGAACTCCAAGTGATTCTTCATGAAATTCATGCCGAATGGATGATTTTTGAGTGAAACTTTTCAAGTGGCTGCAATTATTAAAAAATTGCCCCAGCATGGAAAGATTTCAAGAATTATTTGAAGCACAAGCGAAAGGAGATGAACGTTGAAGAACTAATTGTTAGACTTCGAATTGAAGAAGACAACAAGAGTTCCGAAAAGAAGTGGTTCAATCCTGGTGCTACTAAAGTTGTTGTTGTGGAGCATGGTCAAAGTAGTAAAAACAATAAAAAAAAGTCTGTGTCATCCGATGGCAAAAGGACCAAGCAAGGACCGAAATGTAGAATTTCTAAGAAGAAATTTCAAGGAAAATGTTTCAATTGTGATAAAGTGGGCCACAAGTCTTCGGAGTACAGATTCCCAAAGAAGAAGAAAGAAGAAAATGTGGTTGACTACATGGCACAAGATATGTCGGAGCTGAATCTCTCAACTGTTATTTCTGAAGTGAACATGGTGGGTTCAAACCCTAAGGAGTAATGGATTGACACCGGTGCTACGAGGCATGTGTGCTCTAATAAGGAGCTGTTTGCTACGTTTGAAGCAATTGAGAATGGGGAGAAGTTGTTTATGGGAAATTCAACAACTTCAGAAATCAAAGGTCAAGGAAATGTGGCTCTGAAGATGACCTCGGGAAAAGAGCTGACTCTCAACAATGTGCTATATGTGCTGAAAATTCGCAAGAACTTAGTATCCGGGTTGTTTTTGAATAAGCATGGCTTTCGTATTGTATTTGAGTCAGATGTTGGAAAATGATATATTTTCGACGGTATGTTTAAACTCAATGTAATGGTTGTCAAACTAAAAATGAATAAAGCAAAATCTTCTACTTATTTGCTTGAGTCTTCCAATTTGTGGCATGGTAGACTAGGACATGTTAACTATGATACTTTACGAAGACTAGTTAACTTGAATTGCATACCCAAGTTCCACATTGATTCAAAACATAAGTGTGAAACTTGTGTTAAGACAAAATTGACAAGGTCAACGTCTAAATCAATTGAACGGAACACAAAATCACTTGATATAATTCACAGCTACGTATGTGATTTAAAACTCGTACAAACAAGAGGTGGCAACAAGTATTTCATTACTTTTATTGACGATAGCACCAAATACTGTTATATGTATTTATTAAAAAGTAAAGATAAAGCTATAGAAAAATTTGTTCTCTATAAAAGTGAAGTTGAAACTCAACTTAATAAGAAAATTAAGGTGTTAAAAAGCGATCAAGGTGGTGGGTATGAAGCGCCATTTACTAAATTTTGTGCATAACACGGAATCATACATGAAACCACCGCATCTTATTCACCGCAACAAAATGGTGTTGCTGAATGTATAAATCGTACTTTAAAGGAAATGATGAATGCAATGCTAGTAAGTTCTAGGTTACCTCGGAACATGTGGAGGAAGCTGTGTTATCGGCAAATTAACTTTTAAATAAGGTGCCCCGAAAGAAAATGGAAAAGACCCCTTATGAGTTATTGAAAGAAAGAAAGTCTTCCTATAAATACTTACGAGCATGGGGGTGTCTTGCTAAAGTGGTCGTTTCAACACCAAAGAAGGTAAGGATTGGGCCAAAGATAGTATATTACATCTTCATTGGGTATTCAAACAACAATAGCGCTTATCGGTTTCTTGTGTATGATTCTAAAATCCCTGACATAAATAAAAACATGATATTAGAATCAAGAAATGCTTCATTCTTTGAACATGTATTTTCGTACAAGTCCAAAGAGAAAGCAAGCTCCTCCAAACGAACATATGAGACTATGACTGAAAATAGTCATGACGAAGAACTAGAAGAGGAGACTGAGGTAAGACGTAGCAAACGGGAAATAATAGTAAAATCGTATGGTCCTGATTTTCTGACCTATATGCTAAAAAGTAAACATCAAAGTTATCAAGAGACTTTGAATTTCTCAGAAGGACCTCAATGGAAGGAGGCCATTAAAAGTGAGATAGATTCCATACTGCAGAATCATATATGGGAGGTAGTGGAACTTTCTCTAGGAAGCAAACCACTAACTTATAAATGGATTTTCAAAAGAAAAATGAAAGCAGATGGAACTATTGAAAACTATAAGGTCAGATTAGTAATAAAAGGTTACAAACAAAGGGAAGGTCTTGATTATTTTAATACGTATTCTCCATTAACGAGAATAACATCTATTAAGTTGACACTTGCGATTATCGCTTTGCGAAATCTTGAAGTACATCAAATGGATATTAAAACTGTCTTTCTAAATGGGGATTTAGAAGAAGAAATATATATGGAACAACCTGAGGGGTTTTCATCACTAGGGTAGGAAAAGGAAGTTTGTAAATTGGTGAAATCACTATACGGCTTGAAACAAGTACCCAAACAATGACATGAAAAATTTGATAATGTCATGATAGAGAGTGGATTTAAAATCAATGAGTGTGACAAATGTGTTTACGTCAAAGACACTAAAGATGGTTATGTCATTTTCTGTCTTTATGTTGACGACATGCTTATTATTGATAGTGACAATAAGATGATTGAATCCACTAAAAATGTGTTGAATTCGAGGTTTGACATGAAAGATATGAGTTTAGCTGATGTAATACTTGGAGTAAAAATCTCAAGAACATCAAATGGGCTTGTTCTAAGTCAGTCATATTATGTGGACAAAATTTTGGAAAAGTTCAATAAGGATGATACTAGCTTGGCTAGCACACCAATAGATACAAGTCAGCATCTATCTAAAAACAAAGGTGGACGTGTCTCTCAAATAGAACACTCGAGAGTTATTGGAAGTTTAATGTAATTGATGAGTTGTACAAGACCAGACAAAGTATACACAGTCAGTAAACTGAGTAGATACACGAGTAATTCAGGAGCTGATCACTGGAAATGAATAGTAAGAATACTAAGGTACTTAAGATATACTTGTGACTATGGACTACATTATACTAGATATCCGGCTGTCATTGAAGAATACAGTAATGCTAATTGAATATTTGATAAAAAGACTCAAAGTCGACCAGTGGATTTGTGTTCACATTGGGAGGTGCTGTCATATCGTGGAAATCCTCTAAACAAACAGTTATAGTCAGATCTACGATGGAATCTGAGTTTATAGCTCTAGATAAATGTGGTGAAGAGGCTGAATCGTTGCGCAACTTCTTAGAGGATAGTCTAAAATGGTCAAAATCTGTGCCAGCAATTTGCATATATTGTGACAGTCAATCAGCAATAGGAAGGGCACAAAGTAACATGTACAATGATAGGTCTAGGCATATACGTTATGGACACAATATCATAAGACAACTACTCTCAACTGGAGTTATCACTGTTGAGTACATAAGGTCAAAAGATAACATTGCGGATCCGCTAACCAAATGGTTAAATAGAGAGTTAGTTGGGAAATCATCGAAAAGAATGAGACGTAAGCCCTTAAATGAATAAGTCATTACAAAGGAAACCCAACCTAGTTGACTGGAGATCCCAAGATCTAAGTTCAAAGGGATAACATAATTGTAAAGGCTTAATAAAATCACTGTGGGGGTGTTTCCTCCTGTCCATTCCTATGATGTAATAGTGATGTCCGTATGAATGAAGGATAAGCAATAGACTTTTAATAATTCTTATGCGTCGAAAATCGAGCCAAGTAATACGAATTATTTGTAATAAAAAATCATCTATGTGAGAGAGAAGTGGGGCCGCTTCTAAGAGAATTGTGTGGGGCTCAATTCTTAAGAACTCTCATAGAACCAGACATATGTTCATGGCCAAAATGAACATACTAATGAGAACTGAATTTTTTAAGAAGAATCCTGTGTGGAGTATATCATCATTTACATAAATGGCAGAATAGTTCAAGGACAACATGTCTACTGGTGAATTAGTAAAGTAAATATACTTTCACAAGGGAAGATTCAAAAGGTAATACCTACCTATCCTATGTAGGCTTCAACCGTTGAACTTTATCACCTAGTCTTGTGTCTCAAGGTCACCAAGTCTCTTGTCTCTACCAATTTTCATTCATGTGGGGGATTGTTGGAAAAAATGAGTAATAGCTCACTTTTGACAAAATTTTCGGTGGGACCTGTTGGTGCAATTTGGAAGATCAAAATTGATCCGTGTTCTCGTTCGTGAGAGTATAAAAATCATATATTTATTTGCCAAAAATACAGCTTGGGCGAGTGAGAAATTGGAGCTCAACGATAATCATTGGAAGATGGTTATGAGAGAAAAAATTTGTAGTCCCACATAGGAAAAATATGAAAGTAAAAACCACTTTATATAGAATTACACACTTGGAATTGTGTAATCATGTGTAGCATAGAAACTCTCTCCACGTGCACGCGCAATGGGTGCAAATCTCGGACCGAAATTGCCTTCGAACCTTGAACTTGTGTGCGGGCGCGACCTGCGTACACGAATGTCGGACCGAACGGAGCAAAAATTGGCCCCTTTGGAAAGCTCATGTTTTGCAATTTTTTTCTTGCTTTCTCCACTGATTTTTGAGTTTCTGAAACTTCCAAAACTCCCAAAAATTGAAGTGACTCCAATGTTAATTGTCATAGAGTTAATGGCAGATTTATGCTATATTAAATCTCAAGTTTTTCAACAATTAAACATGTGAAAAAATACACGAAATTCTCTCTGCACGAAAAAAAAATTCCCAAATTCTGTGGTCGTTCTTTCTGTCCAGTGAAGTCATCATGGTGGTGATATTGTTCAAACGCTAAATCAATTCGTCGGAGTAGTTTCTGTAGTGCTCAGATTCTGCTGATTTTGCCATTGTATCTTAGGAAACAAATGCTCGGACTAGACCTCAAGCACTTACGGTGAGGGGGCGAATTTGTTTTAAGGAAACTGTGATTACACAGGCCTCGGTTTAAAGGTCTATTTTCAGATTTATATGCTTTCCAGTTTAAATCTCTGTGCATTTCTTTATTTGCATGTTTACATACTTTCTAGATTTATTTAACTTTCAGTTTAAATCTTTATCTTCTGGAATTTATACTACGTTTGTGTTTCTGCAAATAATATAATTGTTGTACTTATTCAATTAATTTAATTTGTTTTAATTCTCACAATTTAGATAATATTTTGTATATACGAACCGAGATATGAAATCGTGTTTATGAAAATTCAAATTCTGTGTTATTTAAATTATTTTATGAAAACAAACAGTTTGTCTAAAATCTGTGTTGTTTAAGTTATCATAAAGTTTCTACAAATTCTGTTGTTATGTCACTGCCAAATACGGTAAGCTGCCTGGCATATACAGTAAGCTGTCATATACGGTGAATTAAACTGCCAAATATGGTAAGCAATTGTCAAATACGATAAATGTGAATCCGGTGTCTAAAATACATATACGGTATATGAGAACCCGATTCCACTCTATGCACTACCAATTAAATTTACCAACATGTTCTTTCCCCAATATACATATATTTAGATTGGATTATGCAAAACGGATTTTGGGTTACTTAAATCATATATTTAGAAATCGTTTAGAGAAAATTCAACTTTTATAATTTTTGCTGATAATGTCTTATTGTAATAAGATTTGTTGTGCTAAGAAGATATTTAAAATGAAAAATTCAATCAAATTATAAATGTAACCAAATGTATGTTTGTTATAAGCAAATGATTGTTGATACTTCCATAATTATTGGTTCTTAACTCTATGCAAGTGCAGAAAATTGGCCAATGGTTAAATATGTTTCTGCATTATCATTCATGCTTTTCTTGATCAAACCAACTAGCTTTCAGTGGTGCTTTCTGGTACGTTACTCTATCCGAACAATTTATGACATGTTTTATTTGCTTACTACGAAAATAGCTATCAAAGTAAGCATGATAGTACCATCATTGTGAAACACAATTTGTTGCCCTGCAATTTTATGATTATCATCCTTTTTGCATATGGCAACCCCAAGGACATGAAAATGCGATAATGGAAAATTTGGTAAAGGAATTTAAACGTGTTGGTTCTTACATTTATCTTTACGCTTCAATGTTCACTCTCTCGACCCTTCATCACTTAACGAGAGCAAAAATTTTAGCTAACCCTTTATGTAGTTTTACTGTGCAGAAGAAGCAAGGAAAGGTAGAAGTGTCACAAAGATTACGATGTTTTCAAGAAAGTAATTACATGGATCCAAGTCAAGGTCTGTGTTTGGGTGCGCTCTTTGACATCGCAGCAACAAATGTAAAAATTCTTGTACATTTTAAAAGATACCTTTGGAAATTCAATAGTTCATTACATCTGATGGAAATCGGTCTGTGCTAGGGACTTGATACGGGCAGAAGACTTTGTATCTTTGGCTTCGGTTGCTCCATTGAGATGCTTAGTGATGTTGTGGAAGACACTGTTCTGGAGCACGGTGGAGAGGTACATTCTAGTAGTCTATGTTTTAGAATTTCTGGGGAAGGAATTTGTCTATTGTTGTGGCATATTAGAACACTGATTAGACTTGCCCAGGTCCTATTGACTAAGAGCAGTAGTTAAGCCATTAGCATCCAATTGCTCAATGGAAATATGTTACTTGTTTCCTGTCCAATTTTCTGTTTTATATTTTTATTTTTATTTTTTAGAGAAAATTAAGAAGCTACTACTTGTATTCCCTTCCTTAGGAGAGACCTTTAATATCTGACTCCTTGTTTCTGTAAACCTTGTACACAATTGGCATAAACCAAGGCTTTCATATGTCAGCAGTTAGATTGTCGGAGAAGAACATTGTACTGGGGTTCAGTCCGATTTCACATGCGAGGAAATAATTTTGTAATATTACAAGTTTCTGGGAATTGAACTTGTTCCTCTTTCATTATTTATCTTAGGGAGGTTGACTCGATGGTTTATGGTTATGTGTTGGTATGCGTAGTATTCATTGGGAGATGCTTATTATAAACTAGATGGATCATTTGGGCCAACGGCACAACATTATTTTCATTTTAATTGCTTATTGAAATAAATCAAATACATGAAAATCTCTTATGATAAAGTATAATTTTTTTTCCTAAAACAAGTAGCTAAACTTGTTAGTTTTAACATTGTTTCTATTAGAATCTCCTGCACTCTCTTTTTCTCTCCTTAGGTTTATTTGCAAGAGTAACAGTTTGGAAGTGTATTATTATGTTTGGGGTCAATTTAATAATGCCAGTAATTTATAGATGGCCTATGGCTAAATGGTGTTGCACATAGGGAAATGCCTAGGAAAAGCTAAATTACCCCCACATATCATAAAGGTCGTTGGCTTCTGTGATCCAAATTTTTCTCTCTAATGACCTTTGGTGGCGGGGAGTTGCTAGATTGTTGGATTACATTGTTCGGGCAGTATTCTCTGCGTTGTTTGAGCTATTGACTAATCTGCTCCTATTATTGGACATTCATGGCTATATTATAATTTTATCTATATGTTGGATAAGTAGCTCATGTACAGTCAAGAACCAGGGGAAAGTTAATCTGTCAGATTTCAAGTTTGAGAGCACCGGTTAATGATGTACATTGGTCAGATGTAAACTTGTATTTAATACATAATGTCGAACCATACATTTTACATTTGGGGAGTATACAATTCTATAGTTTACTTTCTTCAACTGTTCATTTCTGTGATGCTTGGACTCTTCATTTCGGTCGAAGTATCCGTGTCGACCCGACACGACACAGGTATGTGATATGGGGTGGACACGGCAAATCATGACTTGACGGCGATGAAGAAGCGGGCTTCTTCTTTGAATCTGAGTCCTATGAATCATCACCGGCTATGAAGCCAGCAAATGGCGATGTGGTACAGCTGCTAGTGCTACTTTGCGCGAATTTATAGGTTGGAGGACGAAGTCTTGGAGAGGACACCAGTCACCACCCGTCGCGTGAAGTGAAGAATAGGGAAAGGCAAGACAATGAGTTTGTAGGGCTTTTTTTCAACTATGGTCCTTTTGTTGAGGTGGGTCTTTTTTAAGATACTAGTCGCTATCACGTGCGTTGCACGAATTTTGTATTTATCATATTTTTATTAGTGTATGAATTTTAATTTTTTTGAAAGTTTTTGAAGTAATATCTAAAAATATTTCCATGATATAAGAAAATAATTGTAAAATATTTTTACAATTGCATAGCAGTATGTTATCTAGAAAAGATATGCTTGTATATTTCATGCTTGAATAAGAAATATATAAACCATTTTGCTTGTATTTTTTGATAGTGTTGATATGATTGAATTGAATGTAAAGATTATATTTCTAAATTTTGAATAATTCAATATTGTAAAATTGAAAAAAAATTCTCCGCACAGTGTGAGAGAGTTGAACCAAGTGTGAAGTAAAAATAAAAAATAAAAAAAGGTGTGGAGAGAAAAAAACATCTCCGCACAATGCGGAGAGAATTAAATAAATTTTATACATTTATAACAAATTATAAATCCATATATGCAGCTTACCGTATTGGCAGGCAGCTTACCGTTTATGCTGCATATCGTATTTGCAGCTTACTGTATTTTCAAACAACTTACCGTATTTGTACATTACCATATGTGCTGCCTATTGTATTTGCTGCCTACCGTATTTGCAAATAACTTACCGTATTTGCAGCTTACAGTATATATTGCCTACCGTTTTTGTAACTTATCGTATATGTTGCCTACCGTATTTGCAGCTTACTATATTTTTATATATCGATTTTTGCACTTACAAATACCTAGAATGCAGAACACCGTACATTCACTTACCAAATCGAATTTCAAAAAAATTTCCAGATTTTTATTTTTTAAACATAAGTATAAAATAAATATTAAATAGATATAAAGCACAATATAAATACATATGGATATGGTGCTCAATTTTCAATTTTTCAATATTGAATTACATAAAATTTAGAAATATAATTTTCACATTCAACTCAATTATATCAACACTATCGAACAATACAAACAAAATAATTTGTATAATTTCGTATATTTTTTATTCAAGTATGAAATATACAAGTATATTTTTTCTAGATGACACAATACTGTTATACAATTGTAAAAATAATTTGTAATTATTTTCTTATATCATGGAAATATTTCTAGATATTGCTTCAAAAACTTTCCAAAAAACTAAAATTCATACACTAATAAAAATACGATAAATGCAAAATTCGTGCAATACACGTGACAGTCACTGTGCGGAAAGGTTTTTTTTTTAACTTCGCACAATGCGGAGAGTTGGAAGTTTTTTTTTTTTTTTTTAACTTCGTACTGTACGGAGAGTTTGCCAACTCTCCGCACTGTGCGAATTTTATTTTTTATTTTTTGCTTTTTTTACTCCGCACTATACAGAGAGTCCGTACTTTGTGAGGACAGTGTCCACACAGATTGTGCGGACTGCTCACACAGAATGTCATCTCTCCGCACTATGCGGAGAGTTTTGTCGTGGTGTTTGTCATCTCTTCGCACTGTGCGGAGAAATTTTTTTTTTTTTACTTCGTCCTGTACAGAGAGTTTGCTAACTCTCCGCACTATACGGAAAGTTTTTTTCTTCCTTTTTTACTCTGTACATGGTTTGTCATCTCTCAACACTATGCGAAAAGTTTATTTTTATTTTTTTTTAAAACTCATGTGCGAAGAGTTTTTTTTGGCTCATGGCAGTTTATATTTACTAAAATTATTATTATTATTTTAATGCTAGTTACACGATGTGCGGAAAAATATTTGTTTGACATAATTATTTTTTTAATGCTAGTGGAATGATGTGTGGAAGAACATTTGTTTGATAAATAAAAAATGACATCATGCATAGTAAAATTGGATTCATTTACTATTGCATGAATAGTAGATCATCCTTCCCCTTTTTATTAGAAGTTAGATTAGGCCCATTATCTGTTGTTGAGGTTAATTACAATTAGGAATCTATTTTGCCTCAGCCTCATATGATACGACATTTGCTGAAAGTCGGAGTTTGATTAGGAAAATTTTCATTGGAGGTGACCATACTTTGATTAAATTTTCGTTTTAGTCATTCAACCTTTTTTCTAATTAAAATTCACATAACTATTATTTAACTCTTTACATGTGAATTTTTGGGGAAAAATGAAGTTTGAAAGACGTATCTGTGATCAAAATTTGTACTCTTTTTAACCATATTTTCGTATCCTACATTTTTAAAAATAAAAGATCTGACACTTAGATACGTATCCATACCCGATATTCGTACCCAAGTCCGACATCACAGGTTCATTTCTATCCTTCACTCATCAAAGTCCTATTTCAATATTCAAGTTTTGGCTACAGAGAAAGCATCTAAGGGCGGGTTGCATGAAAAACTAACCATGACGGTTGTTGTGCCATTGCTTTGGGGAGTTCCTCTAACTTCTGAGACCTTTCACCTTACTGTTTGTAGCGGTGGAGGGATAGTAGATAAGGTCTATTGCAATGGGACTTCCTGTAAATAATTTACTAAGCTTTTCTAGCCACTGTTTGTGCATTTGTAAAGGGTAATTGACACAAAACATCCCTACCTTTCAATTTTATTGTGGAAAACGTCATTATCTTTCATTTTTTGGTATTTTTGCCCTTACCTTCCACATTTATTTGTGCTGAACGTCATTTTCACCAATTTTTAACATAAAATGACCAAAATACCCTCCCATTTAAATAAAACCAAAAAAATAAATAAATTACAATCTTACTCCTAAATGTTTTAAAAAGTGCAAGTAAGTCCAAATAATTATTAAAAGGCCTAATAGCACAAAATGTCCATACGTTTGGCCTATAGTGTGCAAAACGTCCATACGCTTCAAATTGATGAAAATGACGTTTTTTTGCAATGAAACATAGAAATAGGGATGAAACGCAAAAATATTGAAATGTAGGGACCTTTTTCGCAAGAAGTGTCAAACGTAAGGATTTGTTTGCTATTAGACCTTATAAAAAAAAAAAAAAAAAAACTCTCTCTCTCTCTTCTCCTCCAAATAGGAATGCCACGTTAGAAGTGAAAAAACTCCGACTAACCAACACCCAAATCGTCAAACTTCTATATCGCTGAACTATCTGTTAATATTTTAAGACCATGAAGAGAGACACCCTAGTAAGTATAATCGATTGGTGTGTTGGAAATGGCATTGGTCTTTCTAGAACAGGTGATGCCGCCAGTATTTGCTAGTTGAGTATTTTGGCTTGCAATTCCGAAAAAATATATTGGCACGAAGGTTTCAAGGTTGGATGTTGGGTGGTATGTGTAAAGAGAAATGAGTTTTTTTCAGTGGTATGGTGGTCCAGTTGTTTGGGTGGTGGTTTGCTGAAATTTTTTAACTTTTAAGATGGTTGACCCATTTGGAGAAGAAGAGAGAGAGAGAGAGTTGTTATTTTTAATATTTTAATAAGGCCTAATAGCAAAAAAATCCCTATGTTTGACACTTCTTGCGAAAAACGTCCCTACGTTTCAATTTTTTTACGTTTTCATCCCTATTTCAACATTTTATTGCGAAAAACATTATTTTCAACAATTTGAAACGTATGGACGTTTTGCACACTATAGGCAAAATGTAGGGATATTTTGTGCTATTAGGCCTTTTAATAATTATTTGGATTCACTTACACTTTTTAAAATATTTAGGAGTAAGATTGTAATTTATTTTTTATTTTTCTTTTCTTTTTTTGGTTTTATTAAAATGGGAGGGTATTTTGGTCATTTTATGTTAAAAATTGGCGAAAAGGACGTTCAGCGCAAAGAAATGTGGAAGGCAAGGACAAAAATGTCAAAAATGAAAGATAGGGACGTTTTCCACAATAAACTTGAAAGGAATAGACGTTTTGTGCCAATTACCCCGTTTGTAAATATCTGCCTACAACTTTATACAAACTCTAGGAAAGTATTTAACTGTGACAAAGTTAATATCATTCAATCTATCATTCTTATTTTGTGTCCAGAATTTTAAATATATCTTTACCTTTGAACAGGATTATCAGAGTTATATTGGCTTGATGTAAGGTGCAGTTTTTGGGAGACAATATAAGATCACAACTGACCGTGGACACTATAGTAAACAATATTTAGCTTTCTCTTTTTCTTTCTTCAGTGTTATCTAATCTACGTTATCAAACATGGTACTAGAGTGGATTCTCAATTTCATTATGATAAATTTAATGAGTCCACTTTTTACGTTTTAATATCAGGTTAACTCGTATCATCTAACAACTTACACGGTAAAAGATAAGAAAGTAAGCTATTTGTTTATATTATGTATTTAATTATTAAACTACTGGTTTGTTAGTTGCAACCTCTGTAAACTCTTTTCTTATTTGAAGACACTGTGGTATCACGTTACATCAAATCAAACTGTCCAATAACCAACTAAGGCATCATAATATCTTTTGGCTGGATGGCCTCTGGGATACTTCCCATGAGAATCTCTTACTTACCCTGCAATTTCTAGTCAACTGACAAGATACAAATAGGAAATTGGATGAAAAACACTCAAAGAGCATGTTTGGAATAATTTTGAGAATTAATTTTTGCGTTGTGCTATGGGTACATTATGGACACATAATGCTCACATGGTGCCCCCTATTGGAGGGGCGCCTGGAATAATTTTGATAATTAATTTTTGGGTTGTGCTATGGGTACATTATGGACACATAATGCACACATGGTGCCCCCTATTCGAGAGGCGCCTGGCCCACCCGGCACCCCTTCAATAGGGGGCACCATGTGCATTATGTGTCCATAATGTACCCATAGCACAACCAAAAAATTAATTCTCAAAATTATTCCAAACAGGCTACATAATGCACACATGGTGCCCCCTATCGGAGGGGCGCTTGGCCCACCCTGCACCCCTCCAATAGGGGGCACCATGTGTGCATTATGGTGTCCATAATGTACACTAAGCATTATTCTTAATTTTTTGATCATTAAGAGAAAAGTAGAGTCATCTGTAAGAGAAAAAGTCAAAAATAACTCCCAAACAGTCTGCAAATCTCAACAAAATAGCTACGTGCAATCACACGTCTAATTTCGTGAAACTATAATTTGCTTTCGAGCTTGGATGGGTGCTAATAAATTCGAAGCGAGAAATTAGCATATGTTTGGCAAGGAATGAGGGATAGTATTTATGGGTGTTATGAAATATTATGTAAATAAGAAATGATTCGAGTCTCCATTATTGAACATGTGCTAAAGATTGAAAAATTGTATAATAGTTTGGGAAGTTTCACCGCTTCGCCAATAATGGGAGAATAATCTCGCGAGAGTACAACTGTCAATCTCCACCGACACGTGTTTTGCCAGCAAATAATGTATTTGACAATTACTTCCGATGCCAACAAATCCTAACCGTCTATCACTGCATATGTTCCAATTGGGACCCACCGCGGTAGACTGATTGATAGGCTTTGTAGGGTAGTTGGTGGAGAGATTATGAGCGAGTGTATATATATATATCGCCACATCTATACACAACCACGCATATTTCCATTTCCTCTTTCTACCATTAATCTCTTTGCAGATCGCAACTTTGTTTTTTCCATAAAGGTAAGCAGGCTTCGTACTCAGGCAATTATGATTTTTTTCCAATTAGATTCAAATCCGGTAATAGGGAGTTCTTGCTTTCTTATATCTTGTTTGTTTTTTGTACTGTACATTGATTTTACCAATTACGTAATGTTCTCTTGATCCCCGTTGTACGTTCTATGTAGATCGCACTGTGGGCAAGAAATCGTTTTTCAGTGAACGATCTGGAATTCAATGTATGACAAGAGATTTGATTTTTTTTAATTTTTTTTATCCCTGGCAAAAGCATTAAATGATTGCATATCGAATGAAACGTAAAATTATTGAGTGATTTTGGTTTTGGCGGATCGTATTTCAACTTCTTACAGTGTTCAGTGGATATTGTTGAGTAGTGTTATCTGATTTCAATGTGACTACTGTCAACTCAAAGAAAAAGATAATTCGGTTTTTCTAAACAGAAAAAGGATAGTTTTCTAAATTTGCTAATCTCGTGTACAATTTTCT